GAGTCATCTTCTTCATTTCACCAGTAGACATGGAAGACTAGTAAAGTTCTCGAGTCTTGCCCACTCACCTAAGTGGATGGTTACCCGATCGTGTTGAGTAGCTATCCCAATTAACTTTCTTCGGTATATCTTTCCGTATGAAGCACGCTCGTCCATGATATTATTTGACGTCTTTCCTAGACAAAAAAGTTATACCAAGAGGATGCTTCTAAAAGAGGGGGAATACAGTACTCTTTTAGCATCTAGAAAACATATTACGCTGCGGATGAGGCACTTTCTTTCTTAAAATTGTCATTATGACAATCCAAGCTTCAACCAACGCATGCAAGTTTTGTTAAGATTGTACACTAAATTATGCTTGATGTGCTGCTTAAGATTTGAGAGAGCCAATATTCACTTGAAAGAAGAGAAGAAGAGAAAATGATAGATGTTGATCGCAAGTCAAATTGTAGTTTGTTTGGCGCATACTTATGTTCATAAAAATTAATTTTTCTATTTATAACTCTAATCTAAATTCTAATTTACCGCAAGTCAAAGTCTTCTTGGCCAGCGACGTGTAGAAAAAGAATCCATGGAATGCAGCTTAGGGATGTGAGGCTTCTCACCACTCATCTTATCTGCATCAATCAAGTCACCGCTCGTCTGTCAAACAGTGCTTATCCCACCGATTGAGACCGATGCTATCGGTTTCCAAAATGTCGTATTAATCATGGTGGCTTTCATTTTACCCCTACGATGATGGAACAAAAACTTGGCCCTCACTCTTACGTCACATGATGTTATGTTGAAAGTGACGATAGAGAAAAATAAGGAAGCGAGTTCAAAATTCAAAATTATGTATTTAATATAAAAACTTTAATCTATTTTAATTCATCTCTCATCTCAAATTTTATACCTAAAGTATTACTTTACATGAGCTCTTATTTTATAAAGGGTAAACTTAAGGTTTCAATTTTAATTATATCTTGGATAGAATTCATAAATAAAAATTCTATGTAACCATAAAGTTTAATTTATTATTCCAACCACACATAGCAAGCAAGCTGAGTGAGCTATGCCCAATTTATATATCATGGATAATGGGTACCACACATAGCATGCACCTCCACCTTCATCCTGTTCTTCTGACTGTGGCGGCTTGGAGTAGGTAGTTAGGTAAGGGAGGGAGATCAAACTGCGCGCCATGGGTTTCCCTTTACGCTTCTTATCATCATTGTCGTTGTGCCTCTTGGCCCTCCTCCTCCACCGGGCCACGGTGACAAGTGGGTGTTTCAGCATGGAGAGGGAGGCACTGTTGGACTTCAAAGCCGGCATCCACGACACCTATAACCGGCTATCTTCTTGGGTAGGCCAAGACTGCTGCGCATGGGAGG